GGGGAGGGTCTGGGGGCTGCCCCCCCCCCGTAGACCCCCCATGCGGCCTAAAAGCTGATGGGGGCAAGGCTCCTGGGGCTGTCTCTAGCCTCCAGCACCTCCCTCCCCGGCCTGCAGGCTGTCTGAGAAGGAACCAGTCTCCAGGTTCTGCTCCCTCCCTGCAGCTGGCCCCCTATCTTGGGGGGGGGGAGGGAAAAGACCAGGCTTTGGGGGTTTCCTCCCCTTCAGCACCCCCCCTCCAGTGGCTCCCCTGTCCAGCAAGCTGTTGGGGGGAGCAAAGCTCCAGGGGATCCTACCTTCTGCTGCCACCCCGCCAGCCCTCCCCATGGAACACTGCAGGCTGCCTCGAAGGATGATGGTCCAGAGGCTGCCACCCTCTCCAACATCACCTCCCCGCCCCCTCGGCGCAGGGGAGGGGTTATGCAGGTCTCCAGGTACTTCCTCCCTCTCAGCCTGTGGGCTGTCTGTGGGTGTGGGGAAAACCAAGTTCCTGAGGCTAACACCGCCTTCAGCACCCCCTGCCTACAAGCCATCTGGGGGAGGGTGAGACTCTGGAGGCTGCTGCCCCCTTCAGTGGCTCTTCTTTGTAGTCTGCAGGCTGTCTGGGGGCCTGAGGCTCCAAGGGCTTCCCTCCTCGAAGCCTGCAGGTCAGCCTGTGGGCTGTCTGTGGGTGTGGGGAAAACCAAGTTCCTGAGGCTAACACCGCCTTCAGCACCCCCTGCCTACAAGCCATCTGGGGGAGGGTGAGACTCTGGAGGCTGCTGCCCCCTTCAGTGGCTCTTCTTTGTAGTCTGCAGGCTGTCTGGGGGCCTGAGGCTCCAAGGGCTTCCCTCCTCGAAGCCTGCAGGCTGTCGGGGCGCGGGGAGGCTCCAGGGTATCTCCCACTTCAGCTGCCCCCCCCCCACAGCCTGCTGGCAGGGGAGGGTCCAGGCTCTGGGGGCTGTCCCATCCTCCAAAGGCCTCCCCCCACAGCCTGCAGGCTCTCCACAGGCAGGTAGGCTCCAGGTTTGGGAAAGGGAGCTCCTTACTGGTGTGTTGGTAGGCAAATGGCAGAGCCCCAGCCCTACTACCACTCTTTTGGTGGGTGCATTCAGTATCGCATCCCTCCCCTGTATCCTTCCCTTTTGCATTCCTTCTCTCTTTGCCCCCTCCCTTTCCATATTATGGGAAATAGTCCCATTCCCAGCACTTCCTGTTTTCCAGGCACAACAAAACCCTGACCTTGATTTAAGTTAGGGTAAGAGGAATCTTTATACCAAATTTGGTGATCCTAGGACTTATGCTTTAGGAGGAGTTCCTGAATAAACTGACAAACAGACTAACTCCAAAATACATATAGAGATTTGATTTTAAATATTATCATCTAGCAAGTAAGAATAAATATGAAAGTGGATCTAAAACATAAGACTGTCTGTAAATGGGTCAAAATATAATGTAATTTATTTGCTATGACAGGAAAGCATATCATTTAATACTGCTGAACAGTAAGGTGCCATAATGGCTGCACAGTTAAAGTTGCAAACACAACAAAACCCAGGACTATGTTCCCTTAATGCTAATTTAAGGTTCACATAATCACCTGGGAAGATAGACAAATTTTCTACCTTGTTTTCCTAGCACACACTTCTGTAATGCAGGAATTCTAAGCAATTTTAAATCCATCTTTCTGACGTTTCATTTGTAATTCTGACTTTTGGAGGGGCCTCTGTATAAACACACCTAGACTTATCACACAATGACTAAATAAAGTTATGACTTGCTCAAAGTTTCCTTTTCTGCAATGAAATCCAAGAGGATATTACTGGTTTTGGTAGGAGACAGAAGGGGTTTCAAGGCCTGCAGATGAGTGTAGTTGGGGGAGGGACGGCTGTAGAATAAAAGGTAGCTCCACGGGCTGCCTGGGATTTGCTACCCTGTGCAAGCAAGAACCCCACTGAAACCATGAACCTTCTCAGGGAGGCAGATTTTTCAACAGGATTTGCTAAGAGTAGTGAAGTCCAGGTGGAGGACCTCAGAATTAACTCAAAAGATTCAGATGCATTAACATTTCCCTGTAACTTTTACCTTAAGTTATGCTGTATTCACTGCACTCCCCTCTGACAAAAATACAGGTGGTATTGTTGAAGAACAAAGGCAGAGAAGCACTAGCACATGCACCGTGCAAACCAAATCCAACCACAACCTTCTCGCCAGGACTCTTAGAGCAGCTCACACCTGTTTAAACAGCTGGCTGTTCTCTGCTCTGACTGCATGAGGCTTCAAATGCTGTCCCCACCCCCCAGCAAAATCTCTCAGTTCCCACTGGCCAGTTTCCAGCCAATAGGAGCTGAGAAATTTGGCTGGGGCAGCATGCAAAGCCTCCTTCCTCTCCATCCCCTTGCTGGAGCAGAGCCACATGGAGCAGCCAGCCATTCTGACCTGGGTGGCAGAAGACAGGCAAAGAGGCTATGTCTCAGGTTCCTGCAGGATTGCTGACTGGGAGCCTTTTAGGTAAGTGCCTCCCAGCCAGAGCCTGCCTCTGGCACCCCACTCCCTCTCTCCTCCCAACTACCACCTCAGGTCACCGCCTAGTACCCCATCTCCCCATGGTCACAATTCCCTCCCAAACCCTACAATCTCTCCTACATCCTCTCCTGCATCCATACCCTTTCCCTGATCCTGCACCCTATTCACCTGCCCCATGTCACCATTCAAATTCTCTGCACCTCTTTTCCCCCTTCTCCCAAGTCACAACTCTCTCACAGACCATGCACCCCCCTCTCATACCCCTCCCCCAGTCAGAATAATCTCTGGCACCCATACTCCCTCCCAGACCCTGTACTCCAAGCCTCTGCATCTGATCACAACATGCTTCTTCACCCAAATACCTTCACAGACCCCATGTCCTCTCCGCAGTCTAGTCTCCTACCTCAAGCTCCCTTCTGCAACCCAACCTCCGTCCCAGACTCTGCACCACCTGAATAGAAGTATGGCACTTGACCACTTACAAAAATCTTGGGAGTGGCCTCCTATTAAAAATTATTGTCCACCCCTGCATTAGCATGTCTCTAAACCTCGTCTTCCTATACACATGAACTGGTCCTGTGTATTCAACACCCATCTAGACTTGTAACAAGCCATTCAGTTTAAAAAAAAAAAAAGCTGCATGATTGCATTCTCTCTATTTTAGGCTAACATTTGGTGTGAACAAAATGTAGCCCATTGCTACTTTGGGAAGAAAAGTTTTTTTGTCATGACCTGCCTTACCTAAGGTTGACCATAGCCTGTTTTGAAAGTGTGCAATAAACTTAGGATCTGTTAGCAGACAATTATAAACATTATTTGTTTGATCCTGTTCCAACGCGCTCTCAAACCTCAACATGGTTTGATCCCGTCTATGTAAGAAACATCAAACTAACATCGTGATCTTCTCTAATGGACTTTACAGTACAATTGGCTCAGAAGCAATGGAAGGAAAAAAGGAAGACCAGGGAAATATCCAGACACAAATTTGGAAGAGGAGTTTATTTAGAACGTTGTAACTGAAAGTTTGTCTTGCTTACCGATCATCTTTCTCTCGGTGTTTATCTTTGGATTTCTTTTTTTTCTTTGACTTTTTGTGTTTTTTCACTCTTTGTTCTTCCATTGGCTCACTCTGCAAACTTCTTCTGCGTTTCTTTTCCATATTACTGTCACTACTTTCTAGACTCGCACATTTTCTTTTTCTGTCGTTTAGATATTCAGATTTGTGGCAAGAGGTTTCAAAACTTGAATTGTTTTCTTCAGACATAGGTGCACATTTTTCATGGGAATATTTTTCAGAGTGCTGAGAGGGAGCTGACCAATGATAATCTATTTTGGAGCTACTGAAATGTTTCTCTTTAGCTACTGGTTCATGATTCCATCTTCTTGTGTAATAATCATCCCTATATGACCTACTGTTGTAACTCTGACTTGATTTATCATAGTCTCTGTCCCCATGAATGAATTTTCTCTCTCTGCTACCTCTTGCTGCATAAGGAGGATAATCATTGTAATATCTGCACTTATCCCATCTCCTT